ATTAGTATAGTCCGCGGCGCGAAGCGCCGCGCACACCTTCAATTTACAAGCGGAACAACCTGCTTTCAGCGGCCGCGGCAAGCAAATTCGACTGTATTTTTTCACCTTACACTTACTTCTGAAAAATTTCCTTCTCTGCCTATCCTAGTTCCCCACCCCCGAAAACTCTATAATCACCGTTTTTGCGGGACAAAATGCTTGGACTAGGGGTATATAAGTGGGGTTACATAAGCTACTTTTTGCCAAAATCTCGACCGGAAACATTGGAGGATGTATTAATTTATTATTATTAACTACTCTCTGTGGTAGCGAAGACAAATGTTGGTACCTCTAGGACAAACATACGTTAACGTTTCCGGCCTGTTATCAGTGTGTACGCAGAAACAGTGTCAGGAAGCTACAGCTGCCAGATATTCGCCCCATCAGGGGTATCCCAGTGTTTTCCTGCGGGTTTGCAAACGAGGGCCTATACTTGTTTTCAAAATTTTAATCACTTGAGTTGGGTATTTTTCGATTTTTATTAACCATCGAGAAAAATTTTGGCATTTCAGATGTATTTTGAATTGAGGAAGGTTGTTTTATCTGAACTTACGAGCTCTTACTGTAGTCCATCTTCTAAGATGAAAAGGGAAACAGAACAAGCACTAGTTATAGCTAGAAAGCAAAACTCAGTAACGCCAGCCGGTAGATGACTGCGTATGGCTCTGTATGCCGGCACCATGCCGATATACCAAGTGAACGATTTCTCATTGGAAGTCCAGACATCAATCAATTGGCGGCTCGTCTTGCTTCTGACATGGATTACCATCTTTGTGGCTGCTAAGTTAGCCCCGTGACCAGTTTCTTAGGTGTGGTCATCCACACCTAATGACTGCTGGTACTGATGTTTGATTGGTGCCTACCGCTATAATTGTTGCTACATCTGCTGCCACTTCTGTGTGTGGGGCTTGAATCCAGTGAGAGTTCGAAGGTCCAGATGAGTAAAGAAAGGATTCCAGCAATCAGACAGCCTTTTACCTTTTCTTCTTCTTTTTTAACATTCTAAACTATCTTCTAATTGCACACAAATTTTTTAAATAACGTGCTTCGGGAGTGTTCGTTAGCTATTCAGTTTGTACAGGTTCTCTTGGTTCCGGCACGTTTGGACAAATATTTGAAGCAGCTGTTTGCGCACTCCACTTTCCACGTTCTTGTAAGATATTTGTTTACACCTAGAGAGTTAGCCGGGCAAGAAATGAGATTTTGTTGAATTTAGCCGGGCAGC